TAAACAAAATAAATAAATAATAATAATAATAATAATAATAATAATAATAATAATAATAATAATAATAATAATAATAATAATAATAATAATAATAATAATAATAATAATAATAATAATAATAATGAAAGGGAAGGAATGAAAATTTGAAGAATAAAATTTTAATTTCTGAAAAAAATCAGGAATAAGGATTAAGGTGATAGTGATAGTAGTGAAAGTTACTACTCTCGTAGGTTTATCCTAAGGGATATAGCTGAGGAATTTGAGGGTTTTTCAGAACTTTCAAATGAAAAAAAAAAGGTAAGTGCGATAAGTCTAACCTTTTATTGGTTATATTTGTCGAATTTTTCAGTACCATATAGCAATCTCAATTATACCTTACAGTATCCTCATTGCTACCGTAATGTTATTTTTTTATTTGATTATCCAATTTCATTGCTTTCTTTGCTTCATCATTTTATTAAATGTTCTTTTGTTTATTCAGTTACATTTACTTATTTAGTTAAATATTTTGTTGAATTCTTAACTTTTTAATTTCTCACATGCAATTTTGATCATAATTTTAAGGAAAAAAAAATAAATTTCACCATCAATTTCCGATAAATTTTGGAAAATTTTCAAATATTAGCAAAATTGAATTCAATTGAATTCCTTTTTTTTCATTTAACTCTTTTTAGTTCGATTCAAAAATGATTGTTGCAATAAACGAAACAGTATAAAATTAAACATTACAATAAAAAAACGAAAAAAATTTTGCATATATATACTTATCGAAATAATGCATTTGCTTACGTCTCACGTGTGTGTTTAGAGAAACAGTTGATTCACGTGTGTTACGTGTTTTTTTTAGTGTCTCATGCATATTTATCAAAAAATTTTTCATTTCCTTGCTTAAATTTCGTAAAAATTTGTGCCAATCAACGGTAACATTGCATATTTTCAACATCTTATTTCAATAAATTACTTGAAATTCCCATTTATTTTATGCATAATTTTTTTTATAAAACGAATAAAGTTAGTTTGTTATTAATTTTCAATAGGACTTATTTATTGTGAGATGAAAAAAACGGAAAAAAAAATTGAAATCATTAATTAATTACTGCGGAAAAATTAGGTTAGGAAATAATGTTTTTTTTTTACTAATGGAGTTGCTATGCTAATCTTTTTTTTCGTTTGTTTTAGCAATTTTGTATTTCGAAACCAAACATACCTCCGAGTACCGAAATGCTGAATGATGATAGTGTGGCGACAAATAGTGGTGACAAAGCAAATTCTACTAGGACATCCAGCATTTCATATACGTCAGTTCTTATTTTTTTAAAAAAAAAAAAGAAAAGCAGTAATGTACTGTAAGTTACAGTAATCTTTTTACTAACCTAATGTTCACTTGTATATTTATTCATTCCATTGCATATTTATTTATTTTTCATTTACTGCCATAAATTAAGTTAACTATTTATTTACTAGTTATTAATTTTTTTTCTATTTTCTGTTCAAATTGCTTATTTTATTTTATTTACCCATACCATTCAATGAGTATAGCGATTTTCGATTAATTTATGCAGTAATTCGATAAAGTGATATGAAATTACTGGATAGTAGTAGTAAAAATAACAATTAAAAATGTAAAATGATAATATCAAATAATAATTAATAACTTATATATACATTTGAATATTTAGAAAATAAATAAAAAAAGGAAAAAAAGAAACAGAAAAATGGTAGTCATTTAGAAACTTTGCTTATTTTTGCTATATCTACTGTTCTTTTTTTTTATTTTTACAACTTTATTCTGTAAAACTATCTATATTTTGAAAATACAGTACTCCATTCTTTTCTGTTCTTTTTTTTTTGGAAAAATTTTTTTTTGCATAGATTTTAAATTTAAGTAATAAAAAAAATTTAAATGAATGATAATGAAATTTAAAATGAAATAAATGGTAATGAAATTTTATTTGATGAAATTTTCATTTTACAATAAATTTGTACGAAAAGAATGAAAGAGTAAGGGAGAGAGAGACAAAAAAATGGAACGAATGATTGCTTTGTTGTTTCAGTTTTTTTTTTTTTTTTTACTTAGAATAATAAAATTTTAAAACTATCAATATCTCAAAAATAGGATATAGTTAAAAATAATTTTTAATATTCAAGTGATACAACATCAACAGATCCAGAGAAGATCTTGAATAAAGCATCGATTGATTTTGAATTTCGATTTGTTGCATCAGAATTGGAAAAGAAGTGCCATGAATATGAACGGATTACCGATACAACAATAAATAATAATACTGCCAATGAAACACGAAAACATGATTAAAATTATTCCTTTCTTTTTTTTTTGTTAAATATTTGCCAGTATTACTGAAATATGAAATAAAATATATGTTATGGCGGATTTCGCAAAAGAAAAAAAGAACACATTGATATGAAACATTAACTAATTAATTAGTTTCTCGTAATTTCTTTCACTTGAATCATTTAACCTTATTATTATTATTGTTATTTTATTATTATTATTATTATTATTATTATTATTATTATTATTATTACTATTATTATTACTTACTATTATTATTATTATTA